CGAACGCCACTTTTTACTCGCTAGCGATTTGGCTCATTTGCAGCCCTAGTTGCAAGCTCCCGTTCTCTGTACATATGCAAACAAAAAAAAAAGGAAATAAACCCTAATATAGATGGAAGAATGGGAGGGAAATAAACCCTAATATAGATGGAAGAATGGGAGGGAAACCACTTATTTTTCCCACCCAAGCCATGTCAACTATTTGTTGGACTCAAAAATAGCATTCTGTCTTCCAGCTTGGCACCTTCGTTTGCCACGTCAGTATAAGTAACGGTGAGTGACCAAGGATGATATAAAGGTGTATTATCGGTGGCTGAATTGAAGTAAAATTGATTCGGATGACTAACGTGTTACAAAATGGTAATATGGGTGAACAAACTTGTAAGTCACCCCAATTATTGGTTTCAAGCCCATCATCCTCTTTTCTAACTTATTATATATAATATAAATTTAACTTTAAAAAAATCATGGTTGTACATGCAATTGCAATTGACTCGATTCATGATATGAATATTACTTTTGTACACATCTCCCAGGCGAGCTTTAAAATCGAGATAGGAAGGTAGCCGCGCCGCCAATCCCATGTCAACAGGAAGGTCTCAAATCTCAATTGCAAGTCCAAGTTGGCTAGCCGTCGGCAATGGTCTCATAGAAAGGATTTGTTTATAAACTTAATTGGACTCTACTGGGCAAGCTCCCAACTTGATTGGATATTTTCATCATCCATGTACCAAAGATATTATAATTCATTGCTAAATATCATAATTCATATTTCATAACGCATGATAGTATAGTTGATTTGTAGAACTAACTAAACCATCTCATTCGTAACTTGAAAATATCCATACGGGACTAGCTAGAAAACCAAACAAGAGTAATACCTTACATTAATTATTGTATATTTCATGGATGATTGATCACCGACTTTGTTATATAAACGCGCTACTACGGATCATAAAATCGCCGGAATCGACAAAGCAAGAATACGAAAGCGAGAATCGAAAATACAACACACGATTTACGTGGTTCACTAACACGATGTGTGTAAGCTAGTCCACGGGCGAGAGAGAGTCAGTTTCACTATATCGAGAAGATTACAGATTACAGAAGAGTATGAGAAGTATTTTTAGTACTTCTCCTAGGTCTAACCAGGCCCAGCGAGACCCCGACTACCAATCGTAGCGGCTGATAGTCCGATTCAAGTCATATAAACAAAATTAAATATCTAGCTAGAGACTAGAAATGATGAACTCGCAGAAAACATAACAAGTTCTATGAAAACCCAAATATCTATATTCAGCTGATAATTAAAACACGAGATTAATAAAAAATAGGAAGAGAAACAAAACGAGACAGTACACGATCTATGTAGTTTTCTTTTTTATTATAGACAAGGTTATTTTATAGATGAAAGTCCGGGCGGAGACATACTCGATTGAGGAATCTTACTTAACCAGACTTATATCACAACAAAATACACATATATCGCGATTGTGGCTGCAACCTGTTTACATGCGAATCTTTATGACTGATCAACTCATTATACGAGGAGTTGAAATGATTCAAGTCCAATTCATTGAATTTGTGCTGGTGCACTTAAAAAACAATATCCAGACTCCAGAGCATCGCCATCAATGTTTTTTTTACTAATTAATTAGTAATTACCTAATCAAGTGATTAATAAACGACGTGGCAGCAGATTTTGTACTGATGACATTGTTTGAGGCAAGGACAGATACAGTTGAGGAAATATATTTTAGTGGACAAGACTTGTTAAATACATGTCGACTCCACGTTTGATTAATATGAAAGGATATGGCCATATTGGTGGGTCCAAAACCTCTGTGCAAAGGAGGTATGGTGAATTGGTGATGATGGTACGATGCCTCTTTCTCTGATTTGTCTAATTAACTTGTGGTAGGGCTAATCCGAACGTTACAAGGATTATTAGTAGGTCCAGCCGACATCATTTTCCAATGAACTGCCACATAAACATGCATGCATGGTGAATTCTCGTTAGTACTCTGCTATAATAATCATGTACATATGTGCAAATTGCAATGTACCATGCCTGAAAACATGCATGGTGAATTCTAGTACTGTGCTATAATAATCATGTACATTTGTGCAAATTGCAATGTACCATGCCTGCTACATTCATTTTGTTAGGACCGGAAGTTTGGTACCGGTATTTGGGATATACCGAATTCAGTACCGAATTTGTCTATATTTGGTATTACAGAATACACGTATTATTTCTTGGGATTGGGATTTGGATTGAATATCAATTGTTATTCGGTATTAGGGATTACGGGATTGAGATCGGTATATACCGAAATATAAACTAGTGTGTATTTTATCTTCTTAACTAGACTCTCTCATTCACTACTACACGACCATCAACCACCAAGAGTGTCATTTAATTATACACAGATCATTCCATCACTATTAATAGTCGTCTCTTAACCTCCAATTCGTCAAATTAAAGATTACCAATGACAAGAACTTGAGATGTCTCCCCTCCTCCATTCTCCTTAATAATTCCCTAATTCAAGACTCTTCGCTTAGTCCCTTTCCCCTAAATTAAACAATAAAATCTAATTTATATATTAATTATTAATTGCAAAGGTAATTAATTTTGTATTCGATAATACCGATTGAGATACCAAAATATTTAGAGATTGGGATACCGAAATTATTTAGGGATTGTGATTGAGATTGACTTTAGGGTGTAATTCGGTATTCGGGATTTCGGTATTTGGTATTGGGATACCGATACCGTACCGATTTTCACCCCTACATTTTATACTATGGTATATTTATACCATCATAGTACACTGACATACCACGTGACAAAATCTTATCTTATGTACATACCAAATGGTATCACATGGTGTGGACTAGTAATAAAAATCACAATTTTTTTCTTCCAAAATATATCAAAGTAATTTCGTTTTACAGAGCACCATTAATATGCATTTTCTCTGCAAATGATTTTTAAATTTCAAATTAAAACGAAAAAGATATAGACCGATATATTTATTGAATAAAATTAGTAGTCTTTTATAAATTATAAGTATAGGTTATGCATGATTATACACCTAAGTTATTCGCTGTATCCACTCTCATCTATAAACCAAAAAAAAAAATGATTAATCTATTTGGTCTGAATTTTTTTGAAAGTAACCTTCTTGAGACAATTCTGAATTTCTGATTGTCTGAAAATTCTTTAAAATTATAATTTTATTATTATTTAAGATATTCTACCCAACTACCCAACGCTTTTGGGTCCTGTCCTGTGAGAACTGGAAGCCTCGAGCCCAATCACTATCCCCATTAAACCTAGGTAGACGCAACAGTACTACCCTTTTCCCAATTGGATCCAAGTATATAGTCCTCATTGGTCTTTCTCACTATTTCATCCAAAAAACAGATATTTTGGTATCACCGTTACTGTAACATCCCGAACCTTTTTCCGACTAAGATATTGTCTGCTTTGGGTCTCGACCCTCACGGTTTTTGACTTGAGGTGCAATTCAAGGTGACTTCCCATAAGGTCACACATCCTTGTTGTACTCCAAACTGAACACGTTTAACTTCAGAGTTCTCACAAGAACTTCTCCATTTTACCCCAAAACGCGTCTTGTCAGTTAAGTCCGGTTTCCTACTTATGAACCATGGATCTCTCCCATGCTTTGTTGATGTGAGATTTGCCTAAAGTGTTACAATCACTTTTAGGCTTTGAACGTTTTTTTTTATTATCAAACATGGGTCTTCATTAAATTTAACTTTCACCTAGGTAGCATTTTTAATTATACTATAAAATTATAACTAAACGTGGCCTGAAAAAACAACTCGTCATCTAACTAGCCCTGCACGATGGGCCGATGGCAATTATATCGCGATTCTGAATATCTGATAAGCCTCAAATCCACGAGGCTGAATGTCCAAGCTTGCAAGTCTCCCGTCCTCTCAAGCTTGTTGTTGTTTGCCGTTGAGAAAACCAAACCACTCGAAGAAGAACAGAGGAACAAGGAATTGATGGATTGGATTGTGCAACTTCAACATCAATTAGGGACGAGGCTCGCTCCAAATAGATAGCAACTCGTCCACGATTGACGTGATGAATCAATCGATGTTGAGCTCGCTCGTTGAGGGATTTGAATCCACGCAACAAGGACAATCAAAGAGCATGAAACTCCATGACTAGGGTTCTTTATTAACTTCAAAACTGAAAACTTACAAAGGAATTGTCGAAGATTAAATAGCTAACTAGGTCTACGAACGTCTACTGACCTCCTAATTACAATAGGACTCGAGAACTAAACCTAACCCACAAGGAACACTAATTCGAATCAAACAAGGAAAGTAGGTTGCCTTCAGCACCAAATCTTCGAGTAGCCTTGATACCATCTTTGAGGCTCTCGAACAATGTCTTCCACGCATGCTGCCAATCATCTGATGCCCTTTCTTTGTAGAGTAAAATACATAGTTTCATGTAGCATAAAGTTCCATACTCGACTCATCACTATATGCCTGGAATGAAGCGCCAAAGTCGGTATGCTGAACACCATTTTGTACTTAGACAGATTTGGACAATTTCCCTGCATCGAGACAGCCTTTTGTCGAGCCTGAAAATGAACCTCCCAAGCTTTGTCTTCGAGCTGACAAACACTCAACCTTGAACTTCAAAATAAGCCAACCAACTCGCATTTCCACTAACTCGATCGAAAGGACCAAGTCCCCAAAGTACCCTACCTGAACTCGTCAAAGGACTTAACCAATTATCGTTCAACATTTTTTTTTTTTGTTTCTTTTCATTTTGTGACCTTATTACCCAAAAAAATCTTCTATATATCTTGTACCTATATAGCTTCATTTTCTATATTATACGTGTCGAATACATAATATCAATTGTATAATAATACGCTAATAATTGGCCGAAATGGAAAAAACCTTCACACTCCGCCCCTATAAATCGAGACCCTTCCATTCCCCCATCTTCACCATTTACAACCAATCCCAATTCCCAACACAACCTTTTCACACACCCAAAACATTTATCCCCACCGCCCCCCCCAAAAAAAAAACAGCCAATCCAATGGCAGCTTCTTCTTCACCCTCCTCCTCCTCCTACGCCGCCTTTCTCGCCGCCGTAGTAGTAGTCATCTCCCTGCTCGCCTCCACGTCATCCGCCTCCAGTAGAAGATCCCTCTCCCCCGCCGCCGCCGCCGAAACCACCAACACCGAGTTCATCCGTACGTCCTGCAGCGCCACCACGTACCCGAAGCTCTGCTACAACTCCCTCGCCGTCCACGCCACCAAGATCCAGACCAGCGCCAAGCTCCTCGCCACCACCGCCCTCGACGTCACCCTGGCGTCAGCGAAGTCCACCTCCGCCGCCATGCTCAAGCTCTCCCGCACCCACGGCCTCGCCCCCCGCCAGTCCGCCGCGATGCTCGACTGCATCGAGGAGCTCGGCGACTCCGTCGACCAGATCCGCCAGTCCATCGGCGAGCTGGCCGGCGCCCGCACGTCCCCCGCCGAGTTCCAGATGATGATCAGCGACGTCCAGACGTGGGTCAGCGCCGCGTTGACCGACGAGACCACGTGCAACGACGGGTTCGCCGGGAAGGAGATGGCCGGAGAGGTGAAGACGGCGGTGAGAGGGCGGATCGAGAAGATTGCTCACCTCACTAGCAACGCCTTGGCTCTCATCAATGCCTATGCTGCTCTTCATAATTAATTAGATTTGGACCTCAGTAAAACGACGTCGGTCCGGCCGCCTCCTGTGGTAGTTGGTAAATTTAGCTGCTACGTGTTGTGAGGGGTATTATGGTAAGAGTGTATATAGGAAGTTGGTTGGTTTGGTTCACTTGGGTTGAATATAATGAGCGGTAGTTGTGTGGCGGTTGGCTTGGCTTTTAGCTAGTAGGGTAAGTTGAGTTGAAGTTACTATGTTGTAAACTGTGAAGTAGTAGTAGTTCAAGTGTGAGTTTTCTGTACTCAAGTCTCACCCATGTAACGCACAAGAAGTTGTAGCTACTATATATGGAAGAGAACCATGTGTGTTGTCCAAATTTGGCCTGTGATTGATGACCGTTCGGTCAATCTCCTTATCTGTTTTTGGGCGTTTATCGCTCTAATTTAACTATATATTATCAGATACATGTCAGTTTGCTATAGGACTTAGTGAAATGTGTCCAGCACAGAAACTAACAACTAATAAATGGTAGTTGTGCCATCTCTCAACCGTGCAATGCACAATTACACGCAGTGGACAGTAGAAATCACATAATCCTACTCAACGTACAGTATATCAAGCCATGCACATATTATGTTCACACCCCTAATCAAAATCAAATATCGCTCCCATTTCAGTATGTTACACATGATTTCGACTAATGAAAAAAAATATAACCCATCTTCATGAAAGACCATATGAAATTTAAATGACGGGTAGTAACATACTCCTAACCATGTTATTGGAGAGCAAGTTTACAATCAAACACCATGCCACGCTTATAGTTTGGAAACCAATAGACGATGACCCGCTTTGTATTGAACATTACATTTTTTTTCTCCATACAAAAAAATGGCCCAGAAGTAGCACGTTGTGCGGGGACAATTGTGTCACATGCTATGTCTGTCGCAACCCGTGATCTCTCCAAGGTCAAAATCCAAATCCAAATCAAAATCCCCATTCACATGCCCTAGGAAGAAGAAGAAGAAGAAGAAGAAGAAGAATCTCTTGTGACTAATAGAAACGAGAAAGCTTTGTTGGTTTCTTTCTCTTGTGGCCTACTTTGATTGCTATGATGATTAGGTGAAGAAAGAAAACAAATTCTCGTCGACAAAGTGGGAGGTATTAATTAGCCCGTGACCATGTTAAAAAAACAACAACATAATAACGTACTTTCCCCAGGTCGTAATCCTACAATTATGCTACTAATCAAATGGGTACACGTCCAAATTTAGCAACTAAACTAATCTGCTACCAGCATACGCTCTTGTCTTTGCACGAAGGCTAATTATAATTGTCATCTACTAATTGTTTCTCAGCCTGCGGAAACTAGCAATCCGCATTAATGATAGGGAAAAAGGAAAATGGGCCCGAGTAATCACGTGAATACGGCCCACCCGCTAGGCTGTACTAACGAGCGGCCTACAGGCCCACTTACTCCCTCCCACGAAAAGCCACCTTATGAAAAGGAAAGCGGGGGGCAGGTTCAGCAGCTGCTTTTCGGTTCTTTATATCGTCCCTACCATTTTACGACCAAGCTGCATTACTATGGCGGAAATCATAATAATTCTCATCAATGGTTAGTAAATTTAAGCAACGGAAACAGACTAAAGCAAATCCAACCACCACCTCCCCCTTTCTGCATTCTACAGTGGCTATACAACGAGGACTGGATATCCGTCGTCGTTCGAGTAAGTTCAATGTGAGTTCTCTATATTGGCTGTAAAGTGTAAACTGAAAACAGTTTTTGGGAGGGCTACAGGGGACACACCTATCAAGAGGATTTCTTGGGCGGAGACATATTACCGATTAGAGAAATCGTCGTGACAACCGCGATTATCTGGACCAGCAATCCTGTCGAGGGAAACAAAAAAAGAATTGAGACTTCTCGATGTCGATTGTGAAATGACGAGCTGAAAACACACATGTAACTCACCAGATAACAGCAGCGAATTCTCGGTAACCTCGAACTTCTTCGCCTCCCACTCACTTGGGTTCAGCATGACCTGCTCATGAAAGTCGCCCCCCGATTAGACCAGTTCCAATAGCAAGAGGCATTTAGTGTGATCCAATGTTATACTACAGCTCCGTTTAGTTCAACTAGTGCTTTCAATTGATACTATCAACAAAATTTCTCCAATCAGATTCGAATGGATGTGACCCCAATTTACTTTATCTTCTCTGCATTTGCAGTCCAACCGATTTCCCTTCTATATATCTCCACAAGATTGTAATAACGTAACCTTATATGTCCTAGAAAGTCAGACAAATTATGGAAGGTCCTTGATCATTTCACAGTAGTTTAGCCATTGAGTCCTTTGTTCAAACTCGCACACGATTACAGTTCTGTTGTTTGTTAATGTTGATCATTGTCCAATATAACAATTTTGAATCAAGCAAGGACCATTTCTCAAATAAAACTCCGACCCGTTCAAACAGGAAAAGGCGAATAATCAAGTAGGACCAATTGATTCACATTTTCTTCCCCTTTAAACACTGCACTAAGATACCAGGTTACGCGCCCCTAAATGAACTGTCGAATGGTTGATCACTTTACTAGCAAACACACTTGATCCAGGGTTCCATTCACTACTTCTAATCCCCCCACTTCCCCATACTTATATCCGAATACAAGCAAGTTTCATGGAAGTGAAGTAGCCTTACCTCTAACGCCGAACCACTGCTAAATTTATCAAATAGCGAGATTAGGAGTCCGATGGACGATGCAGCCATGTACACTCTCAACAGACCAGCTTTGCTCCGCCTAAGACCTTGAAAATATCCACCCAGAATGCATTAATAAGTACAGCAAATAAACTTCAACAGAACACAAAAATCCAATTCTGGAAGGAAGAGAAGAGCATCATTTTACCATACCTACTTCTCCAATCAGAAGAGAGAAGAACCCAATGGCAGTGGCTGCAATAGCCAAAGAATCTGAAACCTTCTCCTTCGATATCGACATTGCTAAAGACAGTATTCCTACCAACTGAATCACCACCTGCATCATCCATCCCAAGTCAAATATGAAATAGCAAAGTTGCGACAGCTGATCTACACTGGAATTGATTTTAATCTGGAAGAGACCCAGCTTGACATTGCTTAACCAGAAAGCTTAACACGATCTACTCAACGCCAGCAATTAGGTCAGTAATGTCATTAACCCTAATTCTAAACTCCACGATGATATTCCAATTCACTCTACTGCCTTGGAAACCATGGAATTCCACTTGCTTGCAAGTCACTAACATCAAGAGCGAACCAGGAGAATTCGCAGATGAGAGACTAATTCGACTGAAGCACGAAAGTGAAAATGGATGAACTAACGCACCTGAATCAAGATCAAGGCATGGAGGCGAGACTTCCCCTTTGCCACCTTCGTATAGCCTGGAAATTCAGAAAAAAAAAATCGGTCACAATCAACTTATGGAGCAGCCCGTCGGACCAGCAAACATTTGGCGCCGCACAAAGAAACAGCTATCGAAGGAATGGAAAAGGAGCCGAGACTCGATTAAAATGGGAATAGGCAGGGCGAAAAAGGAATTACGAGAATCGACGACCATGCGGTAGGAGAAATCGGAGCCGTCGGTTCCCGACGGCCGCCCATATTTCCTCTGTTGCATCTTTTCTTCTTCTTCTTCTTCTTCGTCGTCGTCTCGCCTCTGCGCTTCCAGCCGCCGCCGGTAAATTCGTGATTCCGGGACCGGGGTGTTTATTTTGGGAGTGAGGACGGGCTTGATGCGGGAAGAAACCGGCCCTTCTAATTGGGATGCAGCCAATTTTTCATTCTGATCCCTTCACTTCTTTTTCCTTCCATTTTCACCCTCCCCTGCTATAAAGTATCAACTAAACCCTTTTTTCCGCAGGGTTAAGGTTAACTCACCCATCCTCTGTTTCTGTCTCGCCGCCGATCATCAGCGATCAGGTCTGTTACTTTCTCCTCCTTTTGCTTTTCTCAGCGTCGGACATTATGTTCGATTGGCTTTTCCTCCGATGGACTGTGATTTCTTGACCCAATTGATCTTCTTCTCTTCTTCTTTTGGCTGTTGCTTGCTGGTGTCTAATCTTATATGGTTTCCGTTTAGGAGCAGAGCATATCGTTGATGTTAGTAGTGTCTCCATTCCGCAAGTATGGAGATCTCTCCGCCTTGCGCAGACAACCGCCCGAGAGAGGTGACTTTCTTTTCCTCAAATCTCTTCGTAATCCTTCTTGGTATTAATCTTTTATGGGTCTTTAATTTTTTTCCCCTCCCCTGCAATTCTAGTCCGAAGGACCGTCACCGTCACTGATGAAATACTGGGAATCATCGTCCAGGAGAAAGGAGGGGTTGCTGATGCTGGGTATTTGCAACTGTCACCGTTGCTTTACTTTGATGAGTGCATTTGGAGATTACTGTATTTTTGGTTGTAGTTATATTTCTAGGTCTAAACGCCATGACCCATTTATCTCTTTCACTCAATTCAACGGCAGCAGGAAAATAACAGAGATGAGTTCCCGACGACGCCGGGTCCGGCAGCCCACAAGCAACAACGTCATGTGCGAGTGTGGACGACCTGCGGTTGTGAGAAAATCGCTCTCAGCCTTAAATCCTGATAGGAAGTTCTTCTGTTGTGCTAAAAGGTGTTCGAGAAAGGTAATAGTTTGTTCAGTCTTTGAATGTCCATCTGTTCATAGTTTTCCAACTTCATCAGTTGCTGTGGAGTTATTGTGTGAGGTCTTTCTTGTTTTTCATGTGTTTTGCTTTTGTTACTGTTGAAGGAGAAGGAGGAGGAGAAAGGCTGCGACCTATTTGAATGGAAGGATGTGCGAATGGCAATTGAAAAGGAGAAACAGAGGGCGGATGCTGTGGTGGCTAGTTTGAAGATGGAGAATGTGCGTTTGAAAAAGGAGAACTGTGCACTGAAGGAGGATAACAACGAGCTTCGGGAATCAGTTGCTCAACTGTTGCAGGGAAGCGGCAGATCGGGAAACTGCAAATGCCATGAGCAGCATTGTTGCTGCAGCGCTGCCAAAGTCGACTGGGATGGAGTAGAAGCGAGGCTGACCCTGCTTGAATCAATTCTGCTAGCTAGCCAAGGACTGATGTAGTAGTGATGTTACGAAAACTTTTCACGAGTATGAGTTGAGTGAGCCATTGACTTAACCAAGCTGAAAGCTTTAAGCAAAACATAAGGGGAACCATTGGAACCAACCTCCAAACTTAGCAGCAAAACAAATCAAACTGACGAATTTACATTCGAACACCCACATTTAGTTGTTTTGGTGAAACCGATAGTACTAATTACACCTTCATCATGTAGGCTCCTCCAACCCAACTCCCTTACCAGGCTACCAGTAAAACAAGAACCAAAACTTGCAGACTGAGCTGATCAGTTACTTGGCCATCCAATGCCTAAACAATTTACCGTGGCCGAAAACAAATCATTCGACCACAAGTTTCGAACAAAAAAAATCACACATTCGTCCTTCCCTTCACGAAGGCCAACACGCCAACGAACGGGGCATTGATGTAAGTAGTCGGTTCCGACTGGGAAACAACGAGCCGACTGTCCTGAAACCCGTCATACACATCAGGTCCTCCGACCACCGCCCCGGTCAGCACGTTCGGGTTCGAAGTCACGTTCTTGAAGAACCTGCACCCTTCCGAGCACCCGATTCTCTCCGGATGCTTCCTAACGTCGGGCAGGACGGATCCCCTGTGGTGAATCCTCTGCGGGTACTTCGATCCGTACCCGACCATGTACAACATCCCCAGCGGATTGCTTCCCAGGATGTAATCCACCTGCCCTTTCACGAATCGGTCCAGCCTCGACGGTGCGATGTTCACGTCCCCACATTGGACGACTCTGTTTTGCGCCCTCAGGACGCGGGTGTACGCTGCGAGGAGGAAGCAGAGAGCTGTTGGGTTCTGCATGTTGCAGGATGCTCCCTCCGCGTAGAGAAGCCCGCCTGGGGTGAAGGTGTAGGTTTTGAACGGCGATTCGGGCATGATTGCGCAGACGAGGTTGTCGGCATTGGCTGCGTAGGCATAGTCCAGCTGCACATAGTTGGTCAATTCTGAGAAAGAATTCATCATGAGCAACACCAATTGATCAGAATTTGGAGTTCAGGGAAGAAGAAGAAAAAAATTACATAGGCTAGCAGAACGTAGACTCCAGCGAATTTCGAGTCCCAATTGAACGCAGTCAAGCTCGTCCCTAAGTTTGATTTGACGTAGTATGCATATTTGTTATCCCCTGTTGCTTTAAACAACCATGCCGCTCCCCACGCCAATTCATCCTGCAAAAACAGAGCACAAGAATCTCATTTCCTGACACTGTCAGGATTCCTGAATCCTGAAGAATCAGTTCAGTTTTTTTTTTTTATACCATGTAGCCATTTGAGCTGCAATAGAAGGGGCAGGCACCAGCTCCCACGCTCTGAGCATACGACCCGCGATGCTTGTCGCCGAACTCGAATACCTGACCACAAAGACAAATCCCAGGTCAATATTGATCGACGGAGTCCGAAATTCGCTAGAAAAAGAGGAAATCCACATTCCCCCCAACTTGCCTGAATCGCCCTGTTGAGGAGCAATTTGGTGTAGCTAGGGCTGATCTTCCTGAAGGCGAGTGCTCCGACGGCCAGGGCCGCCGCGATTTCCCCTGCCACCTCCGAGCCAGGGTGCGACGCATTGAGCACGTAGCTGTTCCTGGGAGTGTCCATATCCTCCGGCCTCTCCCAACAATCGTGGTCGAGGACCGGGTCGGCGACCTGAGCGACGATCCTGTCAGGAACGCTCGTGGCCTTCAGGAAGTAGTCGGTGCCCCACCGGAGGGCGTAGAGGGAGTGTCTCAGGTCGGGATAGCCCATCTTGTTGCCGAATTCCAGCACGCTCCATCCGATCATCGTCGTCGTCCACGCCATCGGCAGGTGGAACTTCACGTTGTCCCCTGCATCGTAGTATCCTCCCACCAAATCCATCTGACAAAAAAAAAAGGAAAGAAATTTCAGTTTTTTTTTTCTTCCCGAATTGTGGAAGTAATTAAAAAAAAAAAATTTGGCTTTACCCCGATGTCGGAACCGTCTTTGAGGGCAGAGTCTCGCCGCCAGGTGAGCCTCTGGGTTGGGGGCAGCTTGCCGGAGCGTTGGCCTTCGAAGAACATGATGCACTTGGTCAATGCGTCGCCGTAGTCATGTGGAACAGAAGAGGAAGGGTGGCGGGCGGCGGCGGCGACGGTTGGTATTCCGGCAGCGAGGGCGGAAGCGAGGAGGAATATTAGGAAACGACCGGTGGACTTGTGACTCATAGTTTACTTTCCCTCCCAACTCTTTAGACTGCGGTTACTACTAATTGTTAAGACTTAAAGAGTATGGGAGTATAATTCGGGGTTTATAATGACCGAGTGATTGTATATATAGTTGGGAAAGGGGGAGTTATAATTAAGGGATTAATTAATTGGGTCGAATGAGGAAAGGGGTGGGAGGAATTCCCAAGTTTAGTGGTGGGAATTAAGAACCTATGGCAATTATTGACTGTCCCTAATGTAGTAGGGGAATCCCATTTCATTTTCTCACCTCGATTGGAGATTTCTTTCTGTTGTAATCCGCGTATTTGGGGAATGAATTCACATTTCGTAGGTTAAATGGTGAGGATTAGTCCTTTCAATGGGCTTCACCGTGGACTTGATTTACCGTTGTACTGATAATGTTAGATCGTGCGTCTTATCTACGAGTAGGTCACGACATGCTTCTAATGAGTCTGTGAGATCAAACAGTATTGTATGCTTGCACCGACACCTAACCTGATTTCGACTTAGTAACTGGATTACAGAAACCCCACCCGATCGAATGCAGGGATACCCTTTTAGTGTAGAGATAGACATCGGCAAAGACTGACATTGTCGGATTGTGCGTCCCGTAATCTCACTGATTTGGATATACATGATGGTGTTGTTTGCAAAACCAGTACAATGTACGCGATTGAGATTCGCGAGGACGTAGAAACCCTGGTAGATGGATGGAAGTGGATACCCTAGTCTGTTGTAGGGATAATCACTATAGTAGTTTTCTTTTTATGAGAAACCAATTACTATATGATTAAAATCATCGTAGGGCTAGACATCTAAGTAGGCTCAAACTTAATGGATCATCTCAAGATAGAACACCTAGCTAGGCTAGCTAGTTCCTTCCTGCATTGCAGTTTAGGGGTGGCAGTTCGGTTATTTCGGTTATAACCGATAACCGATCGACCGGTTATCGATTAACCGAAATAACCACTGCCTCTACCAAAAACCGTCCCAAATAGATTTCGGTTACTCGGTTATCTCGGTTATCGGTTAACCGAACCACTTTTAAGATAAAAAACCATTGTGTCCAGCCTTCAATAACCGACCGAAATTCGGTTACTTCGGTTACCGGTTAGTGAATAACCGACTGGTTAACCGATAACCGGTAACCGAACTGCCACCCCTACATTGCAACAGTAACGTACCACAATTGAGTATAGTTACCTTTTGGACGGTCATGTTTCTAATCTATCAACAATTGTGTATTGTCTTTATGACGATCGAGAGGCAAGTTCTGGAGGTAACAAAGAATGAGAAGGTAAACCTTGGATGTCTGCTTCTTCTCAGTGCATTTACCCGTCAACCTTTAATGCCTTTTTTTCCACCTTAGAAGACTTGCTTTTCGAACAAGCAAATTTGGGGGGCTTCAAGGATCAACATAATTCCCCGTCGTAAAAGGAAAGAGACATTTTATAATGTTGTATAGTATTGGTGCTATAGATTTTTGTTTTTATGGTACAACTTAAAATTGTACATTTACGTTATGATACAACTTCAGATTGTACCTATACTTTTTGTACAAATTCTTTTATGGTACAACTTGAACTTGTACTTTTATGTGATGGTACAACTTCAAGTTGTAAAGTTATACCGTAACATAATGGTACAAATTGCTTTATGGTACAACCTAAACTTATACATTTAATGTTATGGTACAACTTTAAGTTGTACATAAAAGCACCAATGCTATATAGCATAGTAGAAGTGCTCAAAAAGAAAATGGTGATCCGTGGGTGGTCTTTTCTTTTCCTTTTTGAGATTTTCAATGGCTTAACTGACCATCATAGTCTTATGGATGAGGATTTGGTTACGAAGTTTATGGGGTTTGGTATAAAAAAAAGTCTTCACATCGTTGAATCCTACACATCTGATTGCTTTGAATTACAACATCCACAATGTGGTTATTTATTATCTCTTCGTGATAGTATATTATTCGCCCAATGTGGTACATTATGATCTCTTTCGATCATTTATTCTTGATGATTTTATGCACATTGAGTTAATTTTATGCTTACAAGTTAATTGTATGTTCGCAACGTATCGGAAGTGTTTGCTTATATCAAGTGGATTGAGGAACCTAGTTTTTTTTTTTGGACAAAAGATAATCTTATATAGATTGATAGAAATAGATCATTACACTCTGGAAAACAGCCAGGCCTGATAATCAAAACGACTTGTAGTCGGATACAAAGAAAGGTCTTTTCGAGCCACCAAATGAGCTACCCTATTGCGGGCCGACCTACAAATCGAATAGTAAACCCCATGTTCATGTCAAACAACTGGACAACCTCCTCAAGAATCGATCCCACTCGATTATCCCTAACATCTCGCCGAAGAATCTTCTCAATGATCACCTGGGCATCTCCCTCAAATCGCATAACATGATTGAGGAACCTAGTTCAGGGCTTGTCTTTTTCACTTATATCAAGTGGATTGATGCATAAATGCTTCACTCATTTTTTTTTCATTTCCCAAAATAATTTCAATATTTTTATGTACAGACATCCTCCCTAATCCTCTTCCACAATGAAGAATGGCAACCAAGCGAAAGGGAAAGAGTCTAGTAAAATTCATTAAAAAAAACTAAAATATTACCGTGAGAAAAAAAAATTGCATTTTTATTCACATAACATAGCATATGTACACTCTCTCTTTTGTATATTCTTTGTAGAGCCCGACGATGCGTTGGTTTGAATGTTATCATGTGATGTTTTTACTCATAAGTCATAAGTAGGGCTGGCAATTTGGATCGGGACCGGATTGGAAACCGGAAACCGGATCGTAAAACTCGGCCCGTTTTAAGACCGGGACCGGATTCAAAACAATCCAAACCCGTCTTTGGTCTTAGAATTAGCAAAAAACCCAGACCAATCCAGTCCGGGTCAAAACCGTGTAAAAACCGGAAGACCGGATAATTACAAAACAGATTTAGAGGCTCAAAATAAGCCCAGCCCAGGGACAGACCAACCCATGGCCTCTCGGCCCACTCACCCCGGCCCAGGCGAGCTTCTGTTCTCTGTCTGTAGGGTTGCTGGTTGGGTAAAGTCTCTCTTCATTCTGCCGCCTGCCGCCTCCCTCTCCCTCGAGAGTAAAGTGAAAGCCTTCCATCGCGATTCGCGGCATCGCCCATCGGAGACTCTCGGACCATCGCGCCATCGACGGAGTCTCGGACCATCGCGACGGCGACCGACCTTCTCTCGTTGCTGGTCGCCGGGGAGTAGCTGTTCGTTCCCTCCTCTCTGCGACGTGACGTCGCGACCCAGCTGCAAGCCTCCGTCCCGTCGCGACCCAGGAACAGGAAGCCTCCACCCTCAACTGCGTCCCGTCGCGACCACCTCCGGTCAGCTCCACGACACCGAGCGACCAGCCAGCCAGCATCTCGTCGCCCTCCGTTCCAAAAGACGACCCAGAAAGACTCCGCTCCAAAAGCCGACCCTGCATCTCGTCGCCCTCCATTCGTCTACCAGCACAGCCGGCAACAGCTGCAAAAGTCAGAAATATGGAAGGGAGCAGCAGCTGGGTAAGTTATTGTTGATTTATTTTAGTGATGAATTGATTTAATCTAGTCACTAGAAGATTTTGAATGTGATGTAAGTCTTGTTGTTGTTGTTTGCTTATGTGATGTAAGTCTTGCTGTTATTTTAGTGGACAAAATGTGTTGTTGTTTGCTGTTGTTGTTTGCTGGTAAACCCAAGATCAATAATGGAAATCTTCTAAAAACAGTAGAAGATGGTTCGGTGATGATCAATATATTGTTTGCTGTTTTTTAGCAATTAGCATCTGCTCCCAAACTGACCCAGAATGTAGTGTGATGTGAGTCTTGTTGTTGTTTTGCTGTGATGTAAGACTTTTATGATGAATGTAGTGTTTGTTCTGTAATGGAGAAGGAAGTAAAGTGCATTTTCTGATATTGATTGAATTGTGTTGTGCAGGGTAGTAAGAAGCGAGTTCCGGCATCAAGAGAAAGTGGAAGTTTTCCTCCTCTTCCTAGTAAGAAGCGACCACAACCACAAGCTTCAAAGGCAGCTGTTGAAAGTGGAAATAATAGTGGAAATGTTAATGTTCAAGCCGCTGCCACTCAAGAACAAGAACGGCCAGCAGCTACCAACACCACAACAACACCTGAAATGGAGAAGACCAATAGGGAGTATGTGTTAAGGTCACCTGTATGGCATCATTATGATTGTTACAAAGATGCTAAAGGCAAGAAGAAGGCAAGGTGTCATTACTGTGGAAAGTCACTGGCTGGGGATCCCTCGGGAAATGGTACAAGTTCTTTGGGTAGGCATACTCAAAGGTGCTTAAAGAAACAAAAAGAAAAGGGGAAGCAGTTGAATCTAGAACTCAATCCAACTTTTGTTGAAGGGCAAGGAGTTTTGGGGACTTGGAAATTTGATCAAGCATTTATCAGAGCTGGGTTAGTTGAAATGATAACTCTGGATGAAATGCCTTTTAGGAGTGTGGAGAAAAAAGGGTTTAAGCGCTTCATGGCACGTGCTTGTCCGATGTTTAAGATTCCAAGCAGAAGAAGTATTAGAGAAGATTGTTTTAGATTGTTTCTTGAACAGAAGGGCAAGTTGAGAGATTACTTCAAGATCAAGTGTGGAGGAAGGGTGTCCATAACTACCGATAGTTGGACTTCTTGTCAAAATTTCAACTATATGTGCATCACTGCACATTTTGTTGGGAAGGATTGGAAGTTGTACAAGAAGGTGATAAGTTTTTGCAAGATTACAAGTCATAAGGGGATTGATCTAGGTGATGCAATAGCCGATTGTTTGGAGCATTGGGGTTTGAAAAATATTTTCACCTTCGCAGTTGACAATGCAAGTGCAAATGACACGACACTTCTTCATTTGAGAGATCGACTTGAAGAATGGGGTACTAATATAGTTGGTGGAAAGTATCTTCATATGCGGTGTATTGCTCATATAGTGAATTTGATTGTGAGCGATGGTTTAGAAGAGATGGGCATGTCAATAAGGAGGGTGAGAGAGGCTGTGAGATGGGTTAGATCATCACCATCTAGATTGGCAAAGTTCAAGGAGTGTGTGGAATTTCACAACATTGAATCCAAGAAGATGTTGAGTCTAGATGTGCCTACAAGGTGGAATTCCACCTACTACATGCTTGAAGCTGCTGTGTTGTTTGAAGATGCATTCTCTAGTCTTGAGAGGAAGGATAAGGATTACAGGCCTGAGCTCAAGGCAAAGAGGTACAAGAATCAAGAAATTGGTGTCCCTCAACATGAAGATTGGAAGAATGCAAAAGTTATGATGAAGTATTTGAAATTCTTTCATGATTTGACTTTGATTGCATCCACTACTTCTGTTGTGACTGCTCATCGATTCTTGAGAGAGTTTGGAAGGGTATTCTATCATGTTGAGAAAATGATGAATAGCACAGATGATGACATAGTTAGGATGGGTATGAAGATGAAGGCTAAAGTTGACAAATATTGGTCGGAGAAGGATTGTGTCAACTTCAGATTGAACAGGTTGGTTTACATGGCTGTGGTGTTTGATCCGAGACATAAGATGAATTATCCGGAACATATTTACAAGAAGATGTGTGGAGATGATAGGGCAAAAGTTTTGGTGAAAGAGTTGAATAATGAACTTGAGAAGTTGTTTGAATATTATCAGAGTAAGATGCCTCCCCCTGCTCCTTCTTCTCCTTCAAAACGTCGAGTACAAGTTGCCACTTCAAGTTCACCGAGGTCAGGTAGTGATTCTGATGAATCTTATGATGATTATGATCCTGATGATGATTATGGAAAACCTCAAGCTGGTCATACTAAGAGTGAGTTGGAGAAGTATCTTGATCATCCTCGAGAATATGATGATGCCGAAGAAGAGTTTGATGTGTTGAAGTGGTGGAAGACTAATGCTATGAGGTATCCCATCTTGAGTGAGATGGCAAAGGATCTGTTTGCTATTCCTATGTCAACTGTTCCTTCCGAGTCCGTTTTTAGCACAAGTGGGCGTGTTTTAGATGAATTTAGGAGCTCTTTGCATCCTAAGATTGTGGAAGCTCTCATATGCAGTCAAGATTGGCTTAGATCAAGTTCTAGTGAGTTTGTGGAGCATCTTGATTGTGAAGATGATGACTATGAGGATCAAGAAGACTTTGTGAATGGTAAGTAAATTACTTTGTAGTTTTTAGTTTTGGCCATATAAATGCTATTGCTTACAATTATATTTTTTTTGTTCCATGTCATTTAGTTTACAATGCTATTATGGTGGATGAGGTGGAAAGGTGTGAGCATGTGAGTGAACAGGAAGGTACAAGTACGAGCAATGTCGGAGGGAGTGATGTGTTTGGCTCGAGGAGTGGAACAAATAAAGGAGGTGGATCTAATGCTTCATTTATTTCTCTTGAACCTGATGAGTAGAAAGGTTTGGTGAATTTGTTAGATTGGAGTGAATTTGGTGTTTGATGTCTAAACTTTGTTTGTGAACTTTTGATGCACTTTATTTTTATTTTGAAGTTTGAATTGGACTTTGAGTTTGTAATAGACATCAATAATGGTTGTGATTTTGTATTGGACCATATTTGGCTTGATTTTTGCTACAAACAGGTTGTTTACATTCCAGGAAAATGGGTATATGTTGCTGAATTTTTTGCAACATAGTCAAAACGGGTCAAAACCGGATTGGGACCGGACTGGGTCAAAACCGGACTGTACCCAATCCAAGCTTTGGTCCCCATATTTCCAAAAAGACCGGACTGAGACCGGATTAATTCGGGCCAATTTAACCGTACCGGACCGTATTGCCACCCCTAGTCATAAGACAAGAAAAAGGTTGGTAAAGAAAAGTCTATTAGTTGGGCTGGGCCGCGTGAATATTTAGATGGGCTCGTCGCTAATAGTATCGTATGGTAGTTTATACTTGGGTTAACACCACTAGAAAACTCGAACTATTAACTTTGTGTCATTTGTGTCCTAAAGTATTCTATATGACATTTGTGTCCTAAACTATTTTTCCGTTAGAGTTTACTAGCGTTGACCGTTAGTTTTTAACAGAAAGTCTAGTTGGCGCTGATGTGACATCTTACGTGAAATTTTTGTTATTAATTATTTATTTAATTTTCCTTATTGCTTGAAAAATAATTAAAATGAAAACAAAAATGTCTCCAACCACTTTTTCCTATCCATCGAGACTTCTTTCTTTCTTCCTACTTCCTTTCCCCTTTTCCTTTCTCCTTCTTCTTCTTGCATCCGTCGAAGATTTCCGCATCATCAATTGTCGGCCGACTCCCGTGGCCATCAAGCTCCCTTCTTCACCCCCTTCGATCCTCACCCAACGACATCACAACAACTCATATGCCCGCCTTCCCCAGCGAACGCGCCACCCCACCGGAGCGCCGGGTCGGAGTGGCAAACCACCTCCCTATCCGAGCGAAACCCAACCCGAACAGGCTGTCGTCGTGTCGTGGCGGTTCGAGCTCGACGAGGGCTCCCTCTACCTCCAGCTCCGCTATGGCATCTCGCCGGGAACAGAGGTCTGGTACATCAGCTGCCTGATGCCTGAAATCGACTCGAAACATCATGAGGAGATTTCCCAGATCTACAATTAGGCTGCTCGAAAATCGGTGGAGAGTGTTCTTCAATACATAGGCTGCTCGGAATCGAAACTCGAATCCAAATCTACAATTAGGCATTCGAGAGTGAGGGAGGTAGGAGAGGAAGGCAATCGACTGTTGCTCAGGTTCGGAGAAAGTTAAGGGGATCCCTTCTCTTTTAGGCAGGCGAGAGCAAGGGAGGTAGAGAGAGCACTAACACAAATTCCCTGCAAACTCCCTAAATCGGCGGCGCCTATGTCGCTGCCCAGTACGCTCCTCGCCGTCGAAGAGAAGCGAATTGTGAGAGAAGAACAAAGACTTTTTATTTTCTGAATTATTTTTATTTTTTCTATTTTAATTTTGATTTAGTTTTAAATTAAAAATATTATGTGTCATTGACGTGGCATCTACGTGGCTACCAAATCAAAAAAAGTAAATGTTAATGTTGACTTCCGTTTGGTCAACCGTTATCTATAACGGTCAACGAAATCATCATGACATAAATGACACACAACTATCATACGTTGTGATACAAATGTCATATCGAATACTTTAGGACACAAATGACACAAAGTTAATATTTATGGTTTTTCAGTGGTTTAGCCCTTTATACTTTATATTTTGGAAACAACGAAGTCTGTCTACTGCTGTCAGAGAAGTACTTCTTAAGTCTGTAGCAGCAGCCCTTCCCATTTATATCATATCCTGTTTTCGGTTACCATCAGAGTTGATTCGACCCGACGACTAAATGATCACATGGCTCGTTTTTGGTGGGGATCAACTCAGGAACATAGGAGGATTCATTGGCGATCTTGGAAACTCTTTTGCTCGAGTAAGCAAGCGGGTGGGTTGGGTTTCAGGGAGTTTGGTAAGTTCAACCAAGTTCTTCT